GGGGGCCACGGCGCCGAAGCACGCAAACACCATGGCCTTGCGGTGGCCCGGCGGGTAGGCGGCGCCCAGGATGGCCAGCGCGTTGGGCAGGCACACGGCCGGGCCGATGCCCTGCAGCACGCGGCTCAGCACCGCCAGCGTGTAGCTGCTGTAGACGCTGAGCCCGGCCACCAGCGACCACAGCGAGAACCACGCCAGGCCCGCCAACAGCACGCGCTTGTACCCGAAGACGTCGCCGAGCCGCCCGGAGAAGAGGATGAAGGTGCCCACCGTCAGCGAGTAGCCGCCCACGAGCCACGCCAGCCGCGGCGGCGACGACACCCCGAAGCTGTCGCCGATGGTGCGCAGGAGCACCAGCGTGCCCATAAAGGCCGCCTCTGCCGCAACGTTAGCCCATCTGCTTGCGTGCCTAGGTATAAACGGGGAACCTACGCGTGCAAAACTGCGCCATGCACACGACGGCCACAAACACGGCCTCGCGCACGGGAGAGAGCGACTCCGACACCCAGAGGGACTCGGCCGTCGACAGCCGCTCCGGTCGCAGCCTAAAGACATCGTCGTCCGGGCCCAGGCTCCTGTCGTCAAGGGACTTGTCGTCGATGGTCGTCGTCGAGCTCATGATGGGAATGTGTCAGTGAGACAGCAGAGGCGGCAGCGTGGGCTTGGGCGTGCAGCACATGCACGGAAGGACGGGATGGTGTTCGAGAAGCAAAAATCGGCAGTGCCAGATGTATGTACATATATGTGTCCACGGGACGGGGGCATGACGGGGGCATGATCGCCAGGGGGGGAGGTACCCCGATTCGCGGATCTCCTCGTATCGCCGCCCGCCCCCGCTCTTGTTTCGGCTGCTTGTTGGAGGTTTTGGCTAAACGATCAAACATATGGACGCGGAGAACCTGGTGGGGGATCCGTTCAGTCGCTCGGTGCCGTTGAAGCGTTTCGGCTCGTGGTCCTCGGGGTTCCTCGCTCACAAGTATGTACCTACACCTACTCCGTACATATAAGAATTGAGTGTTTGGCGGCCAACGATTACCAATCGCGCGGATGGCGTGAGAAATGGACAAGTCGGCATCCCACTCCCGGTTGCTATCAATCTGTGGGTGCGGCGGTGCTTGGCGTCGGCGCGGGCGAATCGGGGGTCGCGGCGCCAGGGGCCGGCGCAACTCGACGGCGGGGAGGACGAAATAGGCTGGAACTTTTTAAATTAGCGGACGGCACTTGCCCGCCCTTGCATGGACTGTGAAGCCGCCTCGGCGCTAGTTGACGTTTGACGAGGACTCCATGTGGGTACATGTCGACGTAGCTTGTGGGATAACGTCAACCAGGACGTGTTGGTGCAATGATGTTTTGCAGCGTTCACTGAGAGGTGTGAAGATACGGAGTAATGTCTGTGAATATAATGCATGCAAGTGCAATGCGGCAGTCCTAGACTTTTCATCTGCCGCACGCCACTCAGCCTTACCGGCCTGAACACGCCCAACACTCGATGCAACCCAGGCGTCTTGGGGTGCGTCTGCAGGAGCAGGGGAAGTTGCCGGTGGGCCGGATTCTGTGTCGCTCATCTCGGACGTGCTCGATGATGGGTTGCACTGCCTCGGACGACGTGAATAGCTTTTGAACAGAGCGATTGTAGTGTTTGGTCGTCGTTTGTCGAAATGTTAAAGTTACGAAGCCGACTTCGAGGCGCCCGAGTCCTGGCAAGGTAGAGTCATTGACACGCCTTGCGCTGCACTCACAGGGGAAGAACCTCGAGCAGTCAAGGTTTCGTTTCTCTTTATTTTCTTTGAATTTTCTGTCCAGATGCTCGAGAAAGCGCTGCATCAGGCAGCGCTTAGTGCATTCAACACCATGTGCCTGGTCGTAGCTGCACCGGAGGACTGACATGTCACAAATTTGACATCGTGCCATCCACGCATCTCTTTGTTATCGTCGACATTCTCATTCACCGAGCACACCATCGTTGAGGCTGTACATTTTTCGTGAAACCGTAAAACCAACCGTTACGTATCGTGCATTGCATTTGCATGCATGCTGTCTGTCCGCATCCCACGCACCAGACATCTCTTTGCTTTGTGCTCCAACACATGCACCTTCACCAAGGTTGGTGTGAACCCCCAAGACTCGTTTGTTTCCTGCGTCTTTGTATCTTTTTTTAACTTCTGTCAGCACGGGCCGTCAGATGACGGGAGAATTTCTGCCGCAAGGCCCCTTTCACACATGTCACACTGCCTTTGTCCGCGCCCTCTTTCAACATCTGTTCTGTACATTACATATCCACGGTACGCTGCGTCATTGATTGCATCTGCTGACGCAGCTTATTATTCTTAAAGGTTCTTGCTCCGGTTCAGATACGGTTCGGCTGCCATGTGTCTGATGCTGACCATCACAGTGCGTTTGTTACCGGTCATCATGACGAGGCCCAACAAGGGAACATGACTGGTTGTCACGGCTGTCTCATGACCCTTGGTGTCCTGCAAGGAGGGCGCTCGTGGATTCGACGACGTGAACAGACTCTGGATAACCGACGCCCAGCCTCACTCCATCCACTAGCAACGGCAGCAGCCAACACCCGTGAAGATGACGGCAGGCGGTCCAACTCATAGCTTGTTGAGTGAACCGATATGCGCAGACGCCAGCGTAGTTCAGACTGTTTTTAAGAGCAGTATGATGACCACGCAGGGCCAACGACCACATCCAACAAGTATAAAAGGCTGGGAATCCTCCCCCTTTTCCATGTGCTCTCCAGGCAATCTCGTCAGCACCTTCAAGCCACCAAACGGCAGCTATTCCGCAAAATCTTGCTGCTTTGCCTCTACATCCACTCGAAATTCTCCTCCTCTTCCTCTCTATACCTACTCGGCAATCTTATCTCAGAACCAACATCTTGGAGCCATCAAGGGACCACGTTATTCGATAACGTCTTCTGACTTTGCCTCTTCACCCGCTTAACGACAAAACGAACTGCACTCGGACTTTTACTTTTACCGCGCACGCACGGACAAGAAAAGTGTTGCAGATATCCCAGACCATTTCAAAAATGACCTCGAGGTTCGAGCTACACCCAAGCTTGCCAGTCGATGTGTACCTCCGGGACCACGAGAACCCCGAAAACTACCACCACAGCGTATGGAGCATTTGGCTTGCAAACCCAGCCGACCTCTACCCAACTCGTGGTAACACCTACGGGACGTATTTCCGGCGCGGCCAAGTAGTAAGACCACTTCGTTGCACTGAGAACAGCCCGGATCAACCACATTGCAGGGCGATGGTAAAATTGGGCAGAATTAGTGCACGACAGGCGGAAGCATTTAGACGGGAATTTCTTCGTTTCACAAACTACGACCAGGCCAACTTCGTCGATGACTACATGATGTACGCTTGGGCGTGGCTCTATGAGCAGCGGGTTTTGTCTCGTGCAGAATACCTACATGGATGGCTCGTGATGAGGGGATCCCAACTGAGAGATACGGACCCGGAAGACCATTTTCATGAGATGGTTGAACAGTGTGACGGAATAATTTTTAACGGCCACTCTACAGAGGTTTGGAATGGCGGACAGGAAACAACAGTGTTGCGTCAGTAAACACGGTACCAAGCCATGGTATCAAACATCAGATAGTTGAGAAGGGGTTTTTTACCCAGCCACCACCTTGCCAGCTGGCTTGGTGGCTTGGTATGGTTTTTTTCTCCTCTTGACGTCTGAAGGAGGAAATGCTAGCTACATGGGAGTTATGAATGAATCGACTACCTTATACTCGTCTTGCTTTATTTTTTACCTGCTATATGTTTGCTGTGAACTGTTATAGTGCGTCTCTTACTACTAACCATCGCAAGATTTAAAAAGAAGAAAGAATCAATCTCAAAGCTACATGATGACTGCTAGCAAAAAGGCTACTGAAACACTCTGATAAGATTCACGATGTAAATTTACTCAAGATAGAGAACATGTAGCCTCGCTGTGTTAATAATAAATTAAATTTTGAGCTGTGTCGCTCATTACGGAAGTGAAATTACAAGCATGATACGAGTGTAGCCTCGTTGTGTACATAGGCAATAGCAGTAACCATCACTTGTACAAAGAACACCGCCCTCTTGGATGATGTGGAACTAGCAGATCGTATTCATTGTTTAGGTGCGTTTTACGATCTTCTGACACATCGAGATGCGTTCATAGTGCACAGCATGGGATATTACGGTTCACTGCGTTGGGTGCGGCCAGGCACATTGGGCTACTTTCACCGGGGCCTGCCTGACATGCTGGCTGCATGGGTGTTAAGATAATTCACAGCAGATGAACAACTCGATGAACATGACGGAGGGGTGTGAATCTCTGATGAGAGGTCACTTATCACAAAGTGATGGGTCAAAATTTAGACTCATCGATTGTTCAGTGAACCTCGCGGCGGCGGCGTGCGCTGACGCCCAGAGCGTGTTCAGGAGCAGTATCATGAACATGTCGCCTCATCTACGCACCAACATGCACAGTATGTTCAAGAGCAGAATGAACACCACAAAGGGTCCCTCGCCCAGGTAAATAAGTATAAAAGGCGTAGGATCCTCCCGTCTTGTCCTTCTTTCTGGCCACCATCCAACCTCTTCTCGACATTCTCAAACCACAAAACAACCAAGTTTTTTTTTACAACACCACACCTTGCTCTGCATCTATACCTACCCACTCGGAAACAATACGGAACCAAAGTCAAAATTCTTCTTGACCACCTACGCCTCAAGAAAGAACAAGAACCCCCCTGTCGCTACCCAGATCGTTGCAAAATGAGCGCCGCCGGAGCCTCGACTTCTCAACAGACCCAGAGCGAGAGCAAAGGTCCGTACGATCTGTACGAACTTTGCCTTCTATGCGTCCGCGAAGACGTGTATAAGGTCGGATTTGGAGGGCTCAACTCATGCATAGACCCAGACGCAGGTTTGTGCAACTACGGGCCGGCTTTTAAAGCGACGGGCGAGATCGATAGCCCCCTGCGGATGGTTAAGAACTGCGAGAATTACACGAGGTGCTATGTACGCATCAAGATTTGCGATATCGACCAAGATCAGCTGCACAACTTTGACAACGCGATGCTCTCATTCAACGAGGACAATGAATTGTTCCGCTCGAAACAAGACAAAGGCCCTGGAAATTTCATGCGAGCCGCATGGGAACATGCTTGGCAAAAAAAAGCTCTCTACGAAGGCCAGTACGAAGCTGGGAAAGAGATTTTTGATACGTGCCAGGGCATTTCCCTTCCTCCGGGTTGGCCCCCGGCGGCGGGGGCGGCGACCCGGGTCCGCGTTCTCGCTCGCCTATGTGGAGGAATGATCGGGGTGTCTGCCGAGCCGCCAGAGGCAATCAAGTTCTTGGACGGAAGACGTGTGGAGTTGGACCCGGATACCAAGGAGGTAACCCTCTGTCCGACCAAGGGTGACATGGAAACTTCAGACAGTGGAGAGGGGCCTTCGTCCAACTAAGCAACTACCTCGCCGGTTGGCTTGGTAACTTGGTACGGGTTTCCCCATCTCTACGTCGGCCGTGTTGCGGGAGGATATACTAGCTACATGTATGGAGAGGTTTTGACAAATTGAAGACCTTGTACTCGCATTGCTTCATCATCTTTGCAACTGTCATGTTTGTGAATGTTTGTTGTGCCACATCCCATGCTAGTCCCATTATCAACGAAGAAATCATGACATTCTCGTAAAACAGACGAGGCCAGAGTGTTACTCTTGAGTAAGCAGGTGCTGGTTTGGGCACCATACCAGTCATCTCCATCCGAGGACCAGTGTTGGAACAGGGAGTCAATGTAATTGCTCTACGCCGGCTGCCCTAGTCGGTTGCACGACCGAGAGTTGCCACTATACATGAAGGCCTTGATTCAATTTATCTCGTTATTGAGGCCCTTCTACAAAGATCTCACGCGGCCTCAGGGCCTTTCCCACTGAGACTCGAAGGTGACAAGATTCATCACCGAATGTCGAATAAGCGTTCTGGCTCTGTACCTTGCACAATCTGCCAAATGCCACTCTTACGGCCTACTGATAGTCAACTTCCTTCTCCAAAAGAACGTCTACTTTTATTAGTGTAGAATGCTTATGCTGTACCACCGCCAAATTGTATAGACAGTTTCTTCCCCATTCTACAGTTGATCCTACTTCTGTAATTCTAGGTGTCGCACCCAGTCATTCTCTTCTCGAATGCCTCATGGCAGCAGTCTCTTCGGCGTGCGAGGATAATACGCCGCGAGGTGGACGCTTGGCAGTCCCAGAATCCAAGCAACCACGCGATCAAGGCCAATGCCGCCTCCGCCATGCGGCGGCACACCGACCTGTTGAAACGTCGCCAAGTACTCCTTGATGCCGCCACTTTTCGGGTCCACACCCTTGGAGCGGATACGGGCCTCGAGCTCGACCGGGTCATGAATACGTTGGCCGCCCGAGAGAACCTCCTGCCCACGCAGGAACATATCATAGGCATTTGTAACGCGGACACCGTCTCCTACCGTGGTACCGGCATCGTCAAGCTTGGCGTAAAATGGCCGCGCCGTCTCGGGAAACTTATCAACGACGAAAAAGTCCGTCTTGTACTTGGCGCGGACGACTTGGCCAAGGGCCTTCTCTTGGGGGGTGCTCATATCTTCGTCGTCGCGTACATTTGCGAACTCCGGGGGGCCTTCCTCTCGTAAAAGCTTTTGCGCTTCGGCAAAGGTCAAGCGGACTTCTTTGCCTGGCTCGGGAAGGAGGAGCGGCTCTGAATGGTAAACGGCTCGTACTGTCTCAATTTCGTTTGCACATCGCTCTATTGGCGGCAAAACTGGTTAGAACATGTACGCAAAGTAGTATTTCTGGCAGAATCTCGGCAACTACCATGTGGACGAGTACTGACCTTGGATTCCGCGGAAGATGGACAACAGCACACCCTCCAGTGTGGAAATAACTTCGGTGTAAGATTCCTTGATTTCCATCTCAAGATCAAGCCCTGTAAACTCGGTCATGTGCCTCGGCGTGTTGGAGTTTTCGGCCCTGAAAACGGGGCCTATGCTGAACACACGCTCCCTGCCGCCTGCAATCTCGAACTGTTTGTAGAACTGAGGCGATTGGGCCAGAAAGGCCTCCTCGCCGAAATACGCCAGTCGAAAGACGTTTCCGCCGCCCTCAGACGCCGCGCCGATGAGGCAGGGTGGTTCAAATTCCTTGAAGCCGCGGGAGTCGAGGTATGAGCGAAAGAGTCTCTTCACTTCGATGCGGATGTCCTGTGCCGTGTTAATGAGTACCCGGATCATAGCCCGTCACCGAAACAAACGTACCGCAATGGCCTGCTGAACAGGAGCGCGCTTGTGCATGGCAATGTTGTCGAGATGAGTGAGCATGCTTGCGGCTGGCGCGGTATGCTCGGAAGCGGCCTCGGCGGCCTTCCCGGCGTCCACATCTCCCGCTTGGTCACTCTCGTCGCTGAAATTGACAATGGGCTGGCTGGCGGTGCCTATGGTCATGCCAAGTACGGCGGGAGCTGGCGCGAGCACGAAGCACTTTGTGATGTGAAGCTCGAATCCCGAGACGCGGCAGCTCTTGACGGGCTCGAGAGGTTTCTTCACCTTGGCTTCAACCGCTACGAAGCTCTCGGGGTTGATGCTGGCCACCCATTTAACCATACGTCGGCTGACAAGGGGTTCCTCGTCAGAGGCCATAATGACGCCCTGGATGTCCCAGTTGCCCCCTTTGCGGAGCTCAACAAAGCCCATCTTGGCACTCTGTACGCGGGACTTTTGAAGCCATGCGCGCACAATGACTGTCTTTTCATTGTAGGTTTCGTCAATGGAGCGTATTTCGACTTCTTGGGCGTCCCGGCTGAAGGCCGAGGTCGTGGTCTGCTTGTTCCCGTAGTTGTCCTTGGCGGGGTCGTCCTCGAGATTGACGGCGGCGGCAGCGGCGGCGAGTTCTGCAGCACGCTGGGCTTTCAAAGCCTCCTTCTTAGCCTTGGCCTCGGCCTTTTTCGCGCCCTTCTTTGACGTCGGAGCGCTCGACTCTTCCATGATGCTCGTCTTTGTCGTAATTGGTGATTGTCCTCTACGCGGAAAAAAAAAGTCATACGGTTGAGGGGCAGTGGAGGGGTAACGAGGGGCAGAGTCATACTGCCACGTGACACTGTGCTGATTCCTTGGCCCCGTTTCCGGAGAGGCGTCACACTCACATCCCCCTGATCCAAGTTTAGATTCGTACTCGGTACTTTCCGTGTATGAAACCAAAGACCAATTCCGTCACCACCCAACTGAAGCTGTGTACCAACAGAGGAGTATTCAACGACTACCTTCCAGACTCTTTCCACGAGCAGTGAGACATTTGGATAGGACAGGAGGGCAGGGATCTTCACCTACGGTCCACGGGGTAGGCAACGGAGCGATCACTTCAAAGAATAACCCTAACCCTAACACTCACCCTAATACATTGGTGCAGGCAATCATTCCGAGACCAAGCAGGTATCAGATGAGTCGAAAAAGAACAAGTGATGGATTGCTGGCTAGTTGATATCATGTTCTCGCCATGTTGCCGATTGCTTCCGTCCGCTGAAACAAGGTTAGGCGGTGGCTTCGCGTGGCTGTCTGCTGGGGAGCCGTTACGAGTTGACGCGCGGACGAACTCGCAACTCACCCAACTCAACCCACTGCAAGCCAGATTACGAGGCCATCATGATCAAGTTTGTCAATCTCATCGCTATCACGGCCGCTGCTACAGCTGCCGCCGCTGAAAAGGTTCCTGTGTATTACCTTATTCGCCACGCGGAAAAGAATACAGACGGGACAATATCCATACAGGGCCAGCAGCGCGAGCAGTGCCTGGTGAAGCTCTTTGGCAAGAGCAGCAAATACAACATCCAGCACATCATGGTGCAGACGCCATATCCGGGAGGTTCGTCTCGCTTTTCCGTTTTTGAAACCCTGATGAGAATGCTGACTATGTCTCTGCCGCAAAGATTCTGCCGAAGACCACACCACCCAGCGTCCATACAACACCACTCTGCCGCTGGCCGAGTCACTCGGCATCACTATTGACCATCCTTGCAATTATACTGATACGTCGTGCGCTGGTCAGGCGGCTTTGAACTACACCGGTCCAGGTAATGTGCTCATCGCCTGGGAGCATGTACACCTGCCGGCTGTCTCGAAAGCCATCGGCGGCCAGGACGTGCCGAGTTACCCTGGTGAGAATGAACGATCCTGGCGCCGACTCTTGGTGTTACTAACGAGGTACTAGACTCGCAATTTGACCTCATATATAACCAGCCACTGCCGTACACAAAGGTAACAGTTACATCTGAAGATTGCGCTGCCATTGGGGCGGCCAGCATGACCGGTTCCAGTACAACCAGTGCGACCAGCACAACCGCTGCGGTCAGTTCAGCCAACGTCGCACGGCAGGCAAATACACCAAAATGGACTTATGGCATTGTTGCCGCGGGTATCGCGGCACTGATTTCTTTGTAAAACAAACGATGCTTGAAATGGGCTCGAGTGATGGCGGCAGCTTTGTGCACTTCTTCCAGGAGTCCATGTTCATCCGTGGAATTTGGACAAGACCTTGATTAATAATCCTACTCGCTTTTCAATTAACCGAGACTACGTGACAGTAAAGGGTCGGCTCTGGGTAGGGAAGAGTGTCGGATTGATAGGCAGAAGTTGTGCTGACAGAATGACGAATCTAGCAAGTGTATATCACCAAAGTTTAAAATTTGTCTGTCTCGATCTCCGAAGATGCGCCAAGATCAATGGCCTGTCATTCAAATTGCTCAATCACAGGAGAATATGGGAAATGTATCCAAAGCAGCAGACATAGCCACTGATATTTGTCTCATTGGCACGAGTGCTTCTGTCTGCGCCCACACTGGTGCTATACGAGCTTCCTAAACCAGAGAAACGCTTGACTCTCGCGAAACCCGATTTACGCATCATAATGTGCGTGTCTTAAAACGCAACGCCAGTTGGTGGGGCCGGAGGAATGATCATTTCGAGTCTCGCCAATTCCAGGACGAGCTTTCCCAGTTTGTACAGTTGGCTGCTCTGTTGCACCTTAAGATAGATCCAACCGATCTCCTTCTTGCACCCTGCGCAAGAGACGACTTGAATGATGTACCAACCCGTGCTCATGAAAATCCGTATGGGGCGTCCCATGGTAATGTTGTAGACGTAGGTGATGAGAATGGCCGGGCCGTGTTTTCCTGTGAAATTCTGGGGGGTCCATCAGTACAAGTTGATTCAAAGAATGTCCAAGGGGAGTAGTGGAAGCGCACTCTGCTCTCAATGTCTCTTTCATGGCCCAATACGGTTTCGCACGTCTTGCAGAGGAGCATTTCGCGAGGCTCAGAACTCATGGTGATGGACGGGGGCTTCGTCACGCCTCAACTCAATGATTTGGGATAATGGAAGGACAAGTTTGGTATAAGAGTTGAGAATGTGAAAAGGAAAAAAAAAGACAAGGTT